GAGTGGTTCGACATTTGTGGCACAAGCAGAGTGGCAGAGAGTGAAAGCGCAGATTGTGGCAAGAGGGAAAGATGTGAGAGTATTGGGACAAGGAGTGGTCCGAAAATTGAAGTGATTGACTCTGTGGCGCGCTAGTAGTGTGTGTAGTTGACTGCTAGAGCGCGGGGCTCATAACCTATCAAGAGGCGATGCAGGGAGCAGTTGCACAGGACTAGCACTGAGGGACTGAATGCCACAAGTGGGGCTGAAGTCGAAGTGGGTCACAGAAGTGTGTATTAAAGGGTCGCTACAGGGCTCTTTATATACATGAGCAGGGGAAAGCATTCCCACGGCAGAACAATAGGTAAAAGAACAATAGAATCCAAATGGAGAACAAGGGCCACTTGGCCACAGGAACAATGCAACAAAAGAAGTGTGGCCGGAGCTCTGCTCCAGTCCGAATGCTCCGCAACTGATACAACCATGTGGTCACATGGTGTTGTGGCTCCCGCCACCAGGGGATCGTCCTAGGCCGACCAGGGGACTGTGGCAGAGCACATTGTGACAACATTGAGTAGCAAACATCAACCTTACATGAAGAGAAGATTTAGTGGTCTACCTCCTAACAGGAACAACTGATGGGGCTCCTTCTTGCTTTAGACTACCATCTTCAGCGAAATTCCCACAGTTTGCACCCATAGGAGCGGGATAAGCAGACATGTGATTCACATACACCCTAGTCCTACATTATGTATTATACCAGAAACAACAGTAATATGACCTATGGCTTTGACTGGCAGAAAGCCAGCACTGGAAGGCTTGCAAATGCGATGAGCAATGCAAAATAGCACACCAACATCGGGCAATAGTGATGTCATGTACAGCACAGCAATAAAGAAGATAAACAACACTAACTGGGCTCTAGAATTACTCAAGTCCAAGGAGCTGATTCTGGGAGGGCAATTGCTGAGTTTGCTAACAATACGCGATGGCCTGTTACATCTTGCATGCACAGCTGCCCCTGGTGCTGTCACCTTGGAATGTCTTGTTGCTTTCTCAAGGGTCATTGACACTATCGACATGGACCACATCACCTCTGAGGTGGTGAACCAGGTCTGCCACAAGACCATGGTAGCATACAACATTCTTGATGAAGGTGTTGACAAGCTTGAGAAACTACAAACTGAGCTAGATGGCTGTGTTAACTGGGCAAAGGAACAGGTGTGTGACCTCAAACAGTATCAAAAGAATGTTCAAGGAGAGATAGAGAAAGGGGTGGCAGAGCTAGTGGAAGCCTTGAGAATAGCTCTGACGGAGATACAATGAGCACACAGCCCATAAGGAGTGCATCACAGCCCTGGTCAGCAGGCTCCAGAGGCATTACAGCAGCAGTCAGGATACTGCTCACATATGCTGCTACAGCTAGTCGCAATGTCCCAGCTGCACACACACAAGTGGTAGCACAAGGAGATGCACAACATTGTCAAGTGCTCATTGATTGTGACCTTAAGGTGACCAGAGATGGAAGCCCTAACCTGAGCAAATGGAAGCTCATCATGAAGGTGAGCATCGCTCTGAAGCATATGGGGGATGAGGGCGCAAATGCACCAAAGGGTGGTGTCATCTTCTGAAGTGCATGATGACTGAAAAATGGTGGTGTGATGTTCAAAATGAACTCTTTCAAAGCCACAAGCTGGCTGCACAAAACTGACGTCATGCACCATTTCATTTCCTTTTATGACAACGGGAACAGTGTTGCCAAAAACAACAAGTACCCAATCATTGTTGAATTTGTTTATACTAATTTTGATCCTACCAATGAGCATGGGGTCCGCAAAGTCAAAACTGAGGCAGCACTTCCACAACGAGCTATACAAACAACATGATGGCTTAAACCAGAAAATTGGTGCTGCCCTTTTTGTAATAAGTCGATCTAATCTAATACCAGGATCTGATGGGTTTGTCATTATTTACATTGGGGATTGGTTTTGTGGCAATTCACGCCCTTGAACGGGCAGTTAATATTTACTCTATGCCTCCATGTATGCACTCCTGTAGACTTCTCTAGAATATAGGGATCAAATACAGTATATACTAGGGCCAGGATGAGTGAAGTGTTACACTTTTCAAGCAGTCGCACACTTGCTCATGTTGCTCTGCTCACCCGACAATGCCAACATGATCATCTGCAAGGGCCTCATAATGGAAGGGAAGCGGGTATGGGCACGCAAACTGCTCCTGGAACCCCGGCACTACCACAAGATAGGCTCAAATCACCTTGCGGCTGACTTCTCTAGTAAAAACAACATGTGCAGGACCTGCGGAAAAGACCACCGAACAGCAAAATGCACAGTTCAATCCCAAGATAGTAGGTTTGGGGTCAACTGCAACATGGCAAGACATGGCACATGGGATTGTGCTTTGACATGGGTATCACGGACTATTGTTTTCTTTTTCCTGGTTTGGACCTGTGAATATGTGACCTTGCTGTGTAAGGTAGCACTTGACATGACAGGTCATACTGCCTTAGTCAATTAGGTTTGATGGCTATGTGAATAGCATGAGCACTACTTATACAGCTCTGACTCACTGGGCTACTACCTCAGTGGCTATAACACAGCAATACCACATGCAAACCAGTGCACACAGTCAGCCCTGAGCTCTTTGTATGTATACATATCTACCTTTGCTGTTCAAAAAACCTCAGTTTTGACCTTTTATTTTTAAATTAGTAAACCCCTGTACATACATCCTGGTTTCCACTAACTAAATTGTCCCTAGCCCCAGGTTTAAGCCTTGCTTACCATTGTTCCAGTAAGATTTGTTGAATACCCCCAGCTTTTGTATTTTGTTTGTTCTTTATTGCTTGACCCTAAATCACAACAATGCCAGGTTTCCTAATATGGTGCAGCCACCATGTCAGGAGACCTTCTGCTACATAGGGTCCAAAGCAGAGACACTTCACAAAGGCACACCAGCACCTTGTGCTTTATAGGCCACCTTAACACTGCATGCTTATATTAAATAGACAAACACACCAATACAGCAGTATTCATATGTCCATATTTGCAATCAAGAAAACCCTACTTTAATACTGGAATAGCGGACACAGGGAAACAATGTAACAATTAAGACTGTTATATGAACATTGTATATACAATGCAAATAATTTTTTTACTATCAGTTTCTTGTAAATACAAATGTATTTGTATTGTGAGCACTACACTGGTTACTTATATGGTATCATTTTTTCACACTTGACTCTGCCAAAATTGTTATTTACAATATATACAGGCATGCTACTTACTGGCTTATGACTAACTTGTCATTCATGCTTTGTGTACTTTTATCAAATCAACACCAATTGCAATACAAATATTACATTCTGTGAACCATAAAAATGCTGTTTTGACTCTCACAATTTATATAGCAATATTTAAGATTATAAACAGCTGATTGATATTTTGTGTGAAAACTTCTGTTGTGCATGTGAAGTATAAGCTGTTGTTTTATTGCAAAATTTACCTTTGTTTGTTTGTAGCATTAGTGTTTGCATTTAGATGAAAACTAGGGTCAAATATATTTCATGAAAGTATAAAAGCATATATATATTTGTAAGTGTTGTCAATTGAAACAGGAAAATAAAAAACTAATAAAGTTTATATGTATTTTGCTATAATTACAAAGGCAGAAGGCACACTTGAGGTAAATGTTGATGTTTGAGAAGGCTAAGGTAACATGCTTTACTGAGCATGATAAGGATTATGTCAATGGTATAGTGGTTACCTATTACTTTTATGCCTTTTGCCACCAAGGTCTTGGGTTCAATCCCTAGTATAAACAAAATATAGTCTTTGTGCGGGCCTTGCTTACGTAATAAGCGCCCGATGACGTTCGAAGTCCGCAGAAAACCACTTTCTGTGGGCTGCAAATGTCATTTGTGTGTCTTTGTTTGTGATTCATCCATTTGTTAGTTTAAGCTAATCAACTTCATTATAAGCATGTTAAAATACATATTCTTAGTTCACAAATAACATTCAGTCATTTCGACCTGTTTCCAATTATGGTAAGTCATGACTAAGCAGTTTTGCGGCCAGTACTGCTTCTCCAAGATTAACTAAATCAGTCTTGTCTTTTGCTTGTTTTTCATCGATTATCATGCTTGTGATAGCTTTATATGATAGAATAAACATCCAAAATGTAATACTACACTTGCACAGAAGGCTTTATAATCTCATATAATTGCAGCTAATATTTGTATCATTGTTTGAAGTGTGATAAAATAGTTTTGTTCAAATTGTTGGGTTGAAGAGTAATATTCAGTTCTTGTAGACTGGGTCAATCTTACTTGTATGTCAATCATAGTGAAGGATGAATCTGACTATTCTGTCTTCATTAGCCAATAACATGTAAATACAACCAGAGACATCCTAGTAAGCCCAAAATCTTACTTATTTCACTTGGAATAAGTCAGTATTATAACATAACTATTACACATCCAAAGAAAACTGTTGACTACTCCTGCTTACACAACTATGTTAATAGACATCACACTGTATCTTATTGTGTAACTTGTTAACAAGTATGTAAAGATCAAAATGTATGTATTTTTGTTTGATACTAGTAGTTTTGTTAATCTTACAGTCATATTATGACTTTTAAAACTAAACATGCACAGTGTATTTAATTTCATATCCGTGAGATAAAAGCTGGTCTTCAAGCACTACTATGATCATTGAATCAAATGTGCTAAAGGTAGATAAGATAAAACAGCTGATAAGATGATCTTATGTTGGACTATTTGGTCAAGTCGTGCCGGCTGAGTTTGAAGTTTCATTAAAGTGATTGTTACTAAAACATAGCCCTAATCCCAATTTAAGGGCTATTTTCAATACAACTTTGTATTGGTTTTAAGTTCCCACACTTAGATGCACCAACTTTTTGTTACAGTGACCCTCGCCATAGAACACTTCCTTCATAAACTCAGGAATCATAATAGGAAAATGTGATGTGCCAGCGAGGCTTGTCCTTTTGAGCGTATAGTACAGAGGTCATGGGTTCAAGCCTGCAGAAAGGAAAAAATTAAAAATTGGCTAGACACCATGCCAACTCGTGACATTACCCCCCTCCAACAGCGCATGACCTCATGCGAGACACCCTTGCCCATCTTCCACCCAGAGCAGCAGCATGCTTCAGTCAGTGGTGAAGGCATTGACTGAAAGTTAAGACCACCAAATACAGGGGTATTGAGGCAGCGAGGGGTGTTTGGATTCTTCCAGTGGAAGTCAGCTATGAGGGCCGGTGCATTTGCAACATTGCACGCTGGTTCCCATGACGTATGCGAGTCATCATAACCCTTCCACTTGACGAGGTACAGCAGCTGATGCTGGAAGATTCTCAAATCTTTGATCCGCTCAACCTCATATTCCTCGTTGCCCTCAACCTCAATGGCAGGCGACTCCTCCAGCTCCCGGCCCGGGATATTGCTATGTGTGTACTTGCTCAGCAGGGAGACATGAAACACCAGGTGCACAGACACTAATTTCGGTAGAACCAGCTTATAATCTAAGTCTCTGAGCTTTTGCCGCATGGCATATGGTCTGAGGTGCTTGGGACTAAGCTTTTTGCTTGGCTGTTTCAGCTCAAGGTTCCAAGCATCAAGCCAGACCTTGTCCCCTGGTGCAAAGATCAGTGCCTCCTGCACATGCTTATCATAGTACACCTTCATCCGCTCAGCTGATAGTTCCAGCATGATGTGCGTGTCATCATGAATCTCCTTCAGGATTTTAAGCCAATCGGCAGCTGTGGGCATCATGGACATCAGATTGATCCGCACTTGGATTTCAGGGTGGTACCCTTGACGCAGGAAGAAGGGGGAGTGCCTGGTTGCAAAGTGAACTCGGTTGTTCAGCACAAATTCTGCAAGCAGCAACTGTTTCGCCCAATCATTCTGCCTGTGGCTTGTGAAAGCATGCAGATACTGCTCAACCTCCTGATTCCAGCACTCAGTCTGACCATCTGTCTGAGGGTGAAACACCATGGATCCCTCAGATCTGGGGTGCAATGTCTCTGTTGTCACTCAAAACCTCCATCTCCTTGCTGGAGATAAGGTTTGCACATCAGAGACTTATGATGTCTAATGCCATTGCTTGGCATTGGCTTGACACTATCTGTGTTAAGCACTGTCTTAGTGCTATTTCTGATGGCTTCCAGTCTTCTGAAAGGAAGACTGAGTGGCTTACCAGACTCTGCAGTCACATCTACTACCACTTCTCTGGCTATAAGCACATTTCCAACTCTCTGAAGGCAACAGACTTCATTCCTTTCCTTTCTGCTACAGACTTTTCTCTGCCTATATCCAACAGCTTATCTGGCACTGTTCTGCATGACTGTGTCACTGCCACTCTGGTGAAGGTTCTGCAGTCTTGGCTTCACTATCCCACCACCATGACTTTGCGTTTGCAGGGTCATTTTGCCCACCATATCATGCACTCCTTCTCTGACTCTGCACTGCTTCTGGATGGTGTCTGGAAACTCTACTCCTACTTCAAGTCCAAGGTTCTCCATGCCCCCCAACAAAGGCAGTCCTCCCTCACCCTTTCCCTTCTTGATCCTATCCTTGCTCGCCTTTCTAAACTTCCTCTGGCAACCCCCACTTCACCAGAAAGTGTCTTGCTTGCTAAAGTGACAGTCAACATTCAGCAATGTGTGCGTCTTCTCTCTGACACACCCTCCTCCTCCTCCTCCTCCCTTCCCCTTCCCCTTCCTTCATCATCTTCTGAGCTGGTCAATGTGCATCAGCCACTGCTTGACTTTGTTCTAGAGATGCTTCCTCTACTTGACAACACTACACCATCCTCCTCCACCAAGTATCAGCAAGCTGTTCTTGACTTGGGCTTGGACAAGGGCTTTCCCTTCCACAAGCATGCTCCCAGTTGCCTCGCTGTCACCTCCTCCACTGGCCCCCTCCGTCCTGACAACATTCACCTCCCAGGTGCATTTGCCAGTGCCTGTATTTTCAGAGGTATCACCTTCAGTTGTCGCTTCCTCCACACCCAGTCCAACCTTTTCCCCAACCTTGAGGCTTGGAATGAGGCCTGCAAGGAGTTCCTTGCTCAGCCAGGCAACAATGAGTGTGGTCTCTGTGATCCTGGTGCCTATGGGACTTGGTCAAAAGGTCGCTCTCCCAGTTCAGCAGCTCAATACTTTGCTGCAGAACCTCTGTGGCACAAGTTTCTGGAAGATCATGCAGTGGGTGGCAAGGCAAGCTTCCCTACTGCTCTCAAGTGGGTGCTTTCTGGTACCTCTGGTGGCAAGAAGATTCTCCCTCAAATTGGGTAGTTGAATGCCCTCCTTCTGGCAGGTGACTTGTGCTATGCTGGTAAAGTCACCTTTCCTACTGTGTAGGAGGATGAAGAAGGGAGCTAGGCAAGGTTTGCTGGAGTGTGCTTTGATTCAGGAGCTTGCATCCCCTGATGAGGTACAAGCTGCATTTGAAGGTGTTTACAATTTCTTGAACAGTAGCCTTACTGACCAGCAAAAGGCTAGTATTACCTTTGATGATTTCATGGTTGAGCATTTGTTGTGCAAGTACCAAAGGGTAGATAGAAAAGCTTAGATAGCATTTGCCATTTGTTGTGTATCATGCATTTGTATTAAATCAGTTAAACTTTGGGTGCACTTGTCAAAGGCAGACACAACATGATTGATACAGCTACTGCTCATCTACAGAGTCAAGACGCATGCGCTTCAGGTCAGATTGAGCTTCCTCCACATCACTATCCTCCTCATAGCCCACCCGCCGCTTCACTTTCTTCAGAGAGGATGAACTACCCATCATAGAGCAAAGATGCTCCTGATTCAGCTCCTGATGAGAAGCAAGCAATTAGTACCTGATACTCAATAGACTGAGGACACTCTAACCTCCTGAATGATTCGATTCAATATACAAATGGACCATAGCTTCAGAATCATCTTCCATACTCCTTTTGACACCAGCACAACAACAAAAGACACCTGCACCTCCACCAGCTGCCCTACAGTAAATACACTTGGAGACACCGGTTGAAAACAATGCTTGCTAGAGTGGACAGTTAGTATCATATAGTACGTATGAACAGGACACTCACATGATCCCATTATGGCTTTCCTTGGTGCGCTCAAAGTACTTGACCTCATTGTCCTGAGTGTAGACCTCATTTGTTATCCGGTTACGAAGTATATGATAAGGGTCCATCTCCTCAGGAATAGTCAGAATGGTCGAGGTGTGCGCCTTGCTATGTGGCATCAGATAGCGGTTGTGAAAGTCCACAACAATGTGACCGCCTTCCCACTTGACCTTCCATCCAGCTAGACCACTGGAACCAACATGAGTGCCCATATACTGATGAATTTCAGCTACAGCAACAGCCACAGCATCAAAGCTTTCAGCACCTAGACCACCCAAGCAAACATATTGTTCAGAATGGATGACTCTGGTCGATGCAAGGCTGTAGTATAGTCCCATCACATATACAGAATGCATACTCTGTCTTTGAAAGAATGGGTGGTAGCCTTCTATTGAGCAGATAGCCCTGAACATTCAACATCACCTCATCTGGGCCAGTGTCATCATCACCAGAAGGATAGACCAGCACTTTGGGTTCATTTACACCATAATCATGCAGTGTAGTGGCAACCTGCACTCTGTCAGACTGAACACAATGGTTATAAAGCAATGAAACAATAGAATGAAGGCGTACATCGACAAACATCGACAGCTGTTGCATTGAACACTTTCCATTGATTGCAAGATCCATTTCTGTCTGCAGAAGCTGTTCTATAATACCGTAGGTATGGAATGGGTACACCCTAACTCCCCTGGCCTGTGGGATTCAGCACATACACATTTCATGACAATCGGCCAAGGTTTGCTCCCACCAGCTCCAAAACCGAGAAAACTGAGAGGTGGGTGCTTAGCGTTTCAGCACGCCTAATCCATACTAGTCTTCCAGGGCACCTAATTGTACTAAGCGCCTAAGTGAGCAGTGAGCACCAATGACTTAGAAGTTTGGCTATTGGTAGTGTTATGCCTATAATTACAATAGCATTTGCTTATGAATAATATAATATATCAAAAGGCGACGCAGGGAGCAGTTGCACAGGACTAGCACTGAGGGACTGAATGCCACAAGTGGGGCTGAAGTCGAAGTGGGTCACAGAAGTGTGTATTAAAGGGTCGCTACAGAGCTCTTTATATACATGAGCAAGGGAAAGCATTCCCACGACAGAACAATAAGGAAAAGAACAATAGAGTCCAAAAGTAGAACAAGGGCCACTTGGCCACAGGGACAATGGAACAAAAGAAGTGTGGCCGGAGCTCTGCTCCGGTCCGATTGCTCCGCAATTGATACAACCATGTGGTCACATGGTGTGGTGGCTCCCGCCACCGGGGGATCGTCCTAGGCCAACCAGGGGACTGTGGCAGAGCACATTGTGACATAATACTTTCTTATCAGCAATGTAAGGAGTTTCTTATCGCCATTAGAGTAGTTTCTTACTATCATTAGAGTGCTTTCTTATTAACATTAGGGTAGTTTCTTACCAACATTACAGTAGTTTCTTACCAACATTGGAGTAGTTTCTTATCAACATTAGAGCACTTATTTACCACAATAAGAGTGACTACATATGGTCATTATTATCATTTAATCAAAGCTTGTGTTTGTAGTTAATGCCCCTGTTTGTTTGTTTGTTACAATAAAATCAATAATATACCTTCTGACAATCAGTGTTATACTTATTACTACAGTATGTAAAAGCTTTTCAGAGAGACAAAACATTTTTCTAGTACAATAAACCCTTTATGCACAGAATGACTATAGTTTCTTTTTGATAGCTGTTGAATAAAATAATACTTGGTGTTGTATGTATTATAGTCATGGACTGAGAATGTGTTATGAGACTCATGATAATAAGTATTTGATAACATTGTTTGACTTTGGTTGTGAGCATGTATTAAAGTTTCACCTTATGTAGTTGCAATCAAACTTACTTTATATGCTGTGGTCAACTTTTTATATTGTGTTTGGAGGCTTAGATCACTGATCAAGTATGCGAGTATAAACCTTATCATGAACAAAGAACAATCCTGTGCAATTTTAATGTTTATGGTATCACAACATTGTGTATTTAGAGTGTTCTTATAACTGTTAGACAACATTCCTTTGTAGATATCAAAGATTTTCAAACTGCATAAAGCAAATCATGTAACAGTTAGCTAAGAGTGCTCATTACTAACTGGAATATAAGATAATGTATAAAATGACTATTATACATAATAGCACTGGTAGTCATGGCCAATTGCTAGGATCTCGTGCAAACAGTTTGATCTTATATATTGGGAATGTAACATGCAAGCAACACATCAAAGTGTATTTGAAACATTGCCCAGATGCCAATATAACAACAAAAAATCATTCAAAACATGAGCATACTTCAATAAATAACAAATCCTATATATATACTATGTTTTAATTATACAGATTATAAGGTTGTATATGCACCTGAGTATTGAGCTCAACATCAAGTGTTACAAGCGCCCATTGAGAGCCCACCCCAGAGCACCTGCCTAATTGAGCTCAACATCAAGCATTACAAGCACCCACCAGAGTCCGCTCATGCAGGTGTTATGTAAGCAATTTCCTTATTGAGCTCAACATTAAGTGTTACAAGCACCCACCAGCAGCCCATAGACCATTTGTTTGCATGTGTTAACACAAGTCGCGTGATGGCAGTAAGTATGATTTCAAACTCAGATATCTTGTGTCAGTCACAGCATACAATCACTGCTTATCGGTGTTTGAATACTGTGGGAACAACCTTCCTCATTGAGCTCAATGCCAAGCATTACATGGAATTCCGATATAAGAACAATTCTTCGTACCTCAGAAATCATAATTTCACTTCCTATAGGTTGGGTGGTGTGCACCCTTACTATACATAGATAGTCTATGATACATTGCCACCACTTAGGGAATGAACTTTTCAGTACCTGCACTTCAGTGGGCAGTACTTGTCCTCACAGACACATGGTCTGGAATCCTGCTGCATACTAGCCAAAAGCAGTACTGGATCTCACATGAACTGTGAGCCCTAGTGTTATTTTGGGCACTGTAGGTGTAAACTAGCTAGTACGGCCTTTTGTAGTATGCGCACCTCCCCTTCCTCCCTCCATCATGGCTGCCTGTCAAGGCTTTATCCATGCCTTCAACTCAAAGGACCTCGTTGATGTCTACATCACCAATGGTCCCACTACACTTATCTTTGCCTATGAGCAGCAGTCGTGCCCTAAGTGAACACCTTGATCAATCGAGCAGGATTACGAGCATTACAAAACAATCCAAAAGGCTCAACATCTGCTTGGTCCTCGTAGCAACCTTGCATCACGATCCGCATCTTGACATTCACGCCCTGTCTCCCCTAGCTCCCACATATCCTGGCCTGTTGCTAGTCCAAGTCAAATGCGAGAAGACCCCAATCTCCCTCCAGACCCTACACCAGAGTCAGAGTCTGAGGAGAGTGAAGAAGGAGTCCAGGACCCCAAGCCCCTCATTGCTGATCGGCCTGCACCATTGACTTTGATCCCCTCCACGTCTGCAGTCCCTAACATATGTCACCCCCCCACCAGGCTTCCTCCAGCATCTCCAGCGTCATCGCCGCTGCGAGGCCGCTCATGCACTCATTCCCCCCAAAGTCCGCCCGGTGGACAGCCACAACCACCACCTCCATCCCCGGGCCATTCTCTATCCCCCCTGCCACCGATAATGTCCTCTCCAGTGTCTCCTCCTGATAAGGAAACATTGAAACTCCTCCTCCTCCTGTGATATGATGGGAAAACTGTTATCAAATGCAACCAGTTCCTTGCGCAGCTGTTGATCTACCTGTAGGTCAACACAGCCCGGACCACTATCAAGCTCCAGCTCCAGGTAGCACTAAGCCTGCTTGATGGTGATGCATGCACCTGGGCCACTCCGATCTTCTCCCAGCTCACATCTGTTACAGTCAAAGTGTAGGGGGCCATGACATCCTTCGCAACTCTCAAGGATCTCCTCATGGTGTTCAAGAGCCGCTTCGGAAATCTTGATAATGCCACAGCAGCACAGGTCAAGCTCACCAAGCTCTGCAGTGACAAGTCTATGTGAGAAAAACACACTGCTGCGGGATTTTCTGCACTGTTCAAGGGTCTGGCAGACCATTCTGGGTATGGTGATCTGGAACTCTGCAACAAGTACCTGAGCGGTATCCCATCCTGGGTTTACCAGAAGATCGAGCTCGAGACATTTGCCATATGGAAAGTCACTGACAAGCATGCCACAGAAGTCGAGCAGATACTTGACATCAGCCAGGCCCGTCAGCCTAAGTTGAACAGTTTCTTCTTGGCTCGAGGAGGCAGACATGGCAGAGCATGTGGTGGTGCACCCCGATCGCAAGGAGCTTCGGCCAGCATCCACACAGCTGTCGGAAAAGGAGATTTCCCTGGCAGTTGTTTCAGCTGCGGGAAGCAAGGATACTGTTGCTTTGAGTGCCCTAATTGTAAGGACAAACCTTACACAAAACATGCTGACACGCGGGCTACAGTTGTCTTAGGCTCCACCCAGGCTGTGACAAGTGCCACCATCACTTCATTCTCAGCAAGTACAAGTGCTGCTTCAGCAAAATCAGAGCAATCTAAGCTGGCAGCCTTGATGGCACAGGTGAAATCAATGTGCGAGGAACTTGAGGGCTATTGGGTGATGAAAGAAGAGTCTTTTTAATCTGGTCCATGCTTTGTGCCGCACGTGTCAGACCATGCTATAACAATTTGTACAATGTATTGGCGACTGTGCATGTTTCTGAATTGGACCACGGGTCCCAGCACTTTCACATTCCAGTACACCTCAAAGGAAAAAGATGGCACAAGAACATAGTTGCAATGGTGGACAGCAGAGCCACCACAAAATTCATCAACAAGTGCTTCATCACAGAGAATTGAGTATGAACGTGGAAATTGAAGGAACCCATTCCACTATACAATATCGATGGAACACTCAATAAAGATGGAAGCATCTTGGAAGTAGCCGTGCTACAGATGCAAATAGGAGATCACATCGAGAAGACGGTGTTCACGGTCATGGACATAGGTCCAGAGGATGTGATCATTGGGTTGGATTGGCTACACGAGCACAACCCTGAAATTGATTGGGAGACCGGATCCTTCAAACTGTGATGATGCCCTGAAACATGTGGTGCCAGAAGGACTGGCCAAATGGAGCAAGCAACAGCTACACATGATACAGGGGTCAGGTCCATGGCACGCAGGCATTCGCCAAAGTCCAAGTGGTCGATCATAGGTGCATGCCAAAGTAAGGTGCTCCTGGACTTCAAACCTAAGGAAGATTTGAAGGAGATTGAGTGGACGGAAGCCAACTTGATTGAAGCATGAGAGCAAGGTATCATGCTTCCAGGCACTCCTCAGCTGTTCATCACAGCGGGACATATGTATTCCCAGCTGTTTGCTGAGGAAGAGATCAAAAAGAAGGTTGTTAAGACCGCTGAGGAATCAGTGCCGAAGCAGTACCATGAGTTCCTGAATGTCTTCTCCAAGGAAGCATCAGAATGGCTACCTGAAAGAAAGCCGTATGATCATGCAATTGAACTTGTGCCTGGCTAATCGATGTTCCATTCGAAGGTGTATCCCCTATCGAACAACGAGCAGGAGGAACTGGACAAGTTCCTAAAGGAGCAACTGGCAAAGGGTTACATCCATGAGTCGGAGTCACCCATCTTGTCCCCCTTCATCATCATCAAGAAGAAGGAAGGGACACTTTGACCCATACAGGACTATTGTTGGCTGAATGTGATCAGTGTCAAGAACTGCTATCCACTGCCACTGACCGCTGAGATGGTTGACAAACTCTCCGGTGCCACACTCTTCATGAAGTTCAACATCAGATGAGGGTACAATAATGTCCAGATCAAAGCTGGCGATGGGTGGAAGGCTGCCTTTGTAACTAACCGGGGGCTGTACGAACCCCTGGTGATATTCTTCGGCCTCACCAACTCCCCTGCAACTTTTCAGGCCATAATGAACAAAATCTTCCATGATCTCATCATGGGCGGAAAGATCCTCGTGTACTTGGATGACATACTCATCTTCTCCACCAATAAGGAGGAGCATGAGAAGGTCACATGCGAGGTTCTTCATCACCTTCAGAAGAACAATCTGTTCCTAAAGCCTGACAAGTGCAAATGGGATGTTCCCAAGGTCAACTATGTTGGCTATGTGTTCAGTGGCAATGAGGTAGCAATGGATCCTGTGAAGCTAAAAGGAATTAATGAGTGGTTGGTACCCCAGAACAAAAAAGATGTTCAGAAGTTCCAGGGGTTCTCCAACTTCCACCGCTGCTTCATTAAAAACTTTGCTAAGATCTCGCGACCACTCAACTGGCTCACAGGGGATAACCCATGGCATTGGGGTGAGGAGAAGCAGCACACCTTTGATGAGCTCAAATGGCTCTTTGCCACAACCCCGGTCTTAGCGCTGTATGACCCTAATTGGGAAACACGTATCGAGGTTAACGCTTTGGGGTATGCCACCAGAGGCATGTTGATGCAGAAACAGGACAATGGCAAATGGCATCTGGTTGCCTTTAGGTCTCACGCTATGGACCCTGCCCAGCGTAACTACAAGATCTATGACAAGAAGATGCTTGCGATCACCAAAGCACTGGATGATTGGCGCCACTACCTTGAGGGATTACCCAACCAGTTTGAGATTGTAACCGATCACAAGAACCTTAAGTACTGGTGCATGTCACAGCACCTCATGCGTCATTAGGCGCGATGGTCGCTGTTCCTTGCCCGCTTCAACTTTCACATCATGCACAAAGCCAGGACATCGAATGGAAAAGCCAATACCCTATTATGTCGACCAGACCATCAGATTGGTGATGAGGATGACAATACTGATCAGATTGTCCTCAAGCCAGAAATATTCCACATTGTCTCCACGCGGTATGGGCATGCCTTGGTGATAGCCAATCAGTTGCTCCTAAAGTGCATCAGAGAATGTTTGGACAAGGATTGGGCAGTTGCCGAGACATTGGAGAAGGTGCAGAACCTCGGCCCCCCTCGGCTACAGAAGGGCTTTGAGGAGTGGAACACTGAGCAAGGGCTTCTGCTGTCCTGTGGGTGTATATTATCAAATAGGCGATGCAGGGAGCAGTTGCACAGGACTAGCACTGAGGGACTGAATGCCACAAGTGGGGCTGAAGTCGAAGTGGGTCACAGAAGTGTGTATTAAAGGGTCGCTACAGAGCTCTTTATATACATGAGCAAGGGAAAGCATTCCCACGACAGAACAATAAGGAAAAGAACAATAGAGTCCAAAAGTAGAACAAGGGCCACTTGGCCACAGGGACAATGGAACAAAAGAAGTGTGGCCGGAGCTCTGCTCCGGTCCGAATGCTCCGCAATTGATACAACCATGTGGTCACATGGTGTTGTGGCTCCTGCCACCGGGGGATCGTCCTAGGCCAACCAGGGGACTGTGGCAGAGCACATTGTGACATACCCCCCCTGATCTGCCAAGTCCCACAGGGAGACTAGGACACCTCAATTCCCATCCCAGTGCGACAGAATGCGACCTTGGGTGCAGGCAACGGCTTGGTGAGACAGTCTGCAAGCATGTCTGCAGTGGGGATGTAGGAGGGCTTGATGCGCCCAGCCTCCACAGTGTCTCTGAGCCAGAAAGTGCGCAGGTCGAGGTGCTTCATGCGGCCATGATGCTCAGGATTCTTGGACACATTGATGCTCGACTGGTTGTCCATCTGCAGGGGCGAGGGAGCGTCCACTGTGTAGCCAAACTCGCCCATGAGATTGCGCATCCAGAGTATTTCCTTGCCTGCATCCACTGCAGCAACATACTCAGCCTCTGTAGTCGAAAGTGCGACTATGGACTGGAGTTTGCTGGACCAGCTGATCGCTCCTGAGCCAACCTTGACCAAGTAGCCACTGGTGGAACGTCCAGAGTCCGGACAGTCGCCATGGGCAGAGTCTGTGAAGGTCACAAAGGGTGCACCCAGGTCGTCAGGTCTGTAGACAAGCTTGTGGTCCTTGGTGCCCTGCAGATAGCGGAAGAGGTGCTTCACTGCGGCCCAATGGGCAGGTCCAGGGCAGGAGTTGAAGCGTGCAAGGCAGGAGACCGCATACTGGATGTCAGGGCGAGTGGTGATGGCCAGATACATGAGGGAGCCGACTGCATTGAGGTAGGGCTTGTCCTGCATGAAGGTGCGGTCCTCATTGCTCTGACAGGCCTGCTGCTTGGAAAGGCGAAGGCCAGGCTCCATTGGAGTCAACACTGCTTTGCAGCTGGTGAGGCCATATCGCTCCAGCATGTCCAGGATGTACTGCCGCTGTGACAGGAACATGGTGCACTTGTTGCGGTCTCTGGTGATCTCAATGCCCAGCAGAAATGTGGTGGGGCCAAGATTGTGCAGCTTGAAGTGCTGAGAGAGCTCCTCGACTGTCTTGTCAATGGCAGCGCGTGAGGTGGAGGCCAGAGTGAGGTCGTCCACATGCACAGGGATGATAATGCGCACTTCATCTCGCAGGTAGATGTACACACTGCGGTCAGACTCGAGCCGCTTGAAGCCCATGGAGGTGAGCACCTGGTGCAGCTTCTTGTTCCACATGCGGCCAGCCTGCTTGAGGCCATAGATAGGACGGCCTAGACGCAGGACTGTGCCAGGGGGACCTTGAGCGAAGCCTTCAGGTTGCTGCATGTAGATTTCTTCGTCCAAGTCACCCTGCAAAAATGCGGAGGAGATGTCGACAGAGTGCAGCTCCAGATCCTCAATAGCAGTGAGGGCAAGGACAAGGCGCAGGGCAGCAGGGCGAGAGGTGGGCGCAAAAACCTCGGTGTAGTCAAAGCCAGGCCGCTGTGAGTAGCCCTTGGCCACAAGTCGGGCCTTGTACCGCTCAATTGAGCCG